GTGACCGTTCAAAGTTATAACGGCACTGAAAAAAGTGACTTATGACTGTTTTTCCACACTTACGACCATTGTAGCATCTCCACGGTGACATGATCAAAATTTGGCTGCTTGGCAACCAGTGTGTATTTATGACAGTTGTGGGGTCCCGGGTTCAAGTGACCTTCCCAGCTGGCTTCTGACAAGCAAAGTCAATGGAAGAAGCCGGATTCGCTTAACAGCCGTGTGATTCACTTAACAACTGTAGTGGATTTGCTAAAAACCATGGCAAAAAGGTTGCAAAATTGGATGGGACTGACTTAACAACTTCCTTTGGTTAAGGATGGAAATTCTGGTCACACCGTTGTTAAATGAATCTGGGCTTTGCAACTGACTCTGCTTGTCAGGGGATCACGTGACCCCACGACTATGCGACCGTCCTACATGCTTCATTGCTGTCGTAAGCTGAGGACTACCAGCAAAGGCGTGATACATAAAGGACTTGCTCAATATTTGGAAAGGAGGTCGTAACATGGAGCAAAATTCATGTAACCACTTTCTCACTTAACAACAAAGCTTAGTTTTCATCGTAAGTCGAGGACTACCCGCATTCGCATTCTACTTTCTTTCCAAAGAGTAGATGACTAGTAAACGAAGTCTTTCCTGGTAGAGCAACTGTGCCACACCCATAAGCAAATTTTTTTCTCATTTTTTTCTAACACACATCTTTGCTGAACCTCTAACAGAATCACCGCGAGAGGTCCACACTTACGGGCAGATGTCCAGAAGGGGACGTCACCACCTCAGGTGCTCCAGAGACCGGCGGGGCATCTTCAGAGCGGACCGTCAGGAGAAGCGAGAGGGTGGCCAGCACCACCAACACGAGCCAAGAAGCCTTCATGGTTTGTCCTAATCCTGGATGAAACCCACAACTCTCCTGGATCGCAGTTGTGAGCGCTTTCTCGGTTCTCCTCACACATTTATGGACCTGCCCGATCCCTGGGCTGGTCAGCCGGAAAGAATTCGGCACGGGAAGTGCCGCAATCTACATCTCCAGACGTCAACAGCTAAGCTACCTTCTGGCCTACAAGGATCGTGACTCATGGTTTGTCTTTAGATCACTCCACCCAGGTGTTGCAACATCCCAGCCGACAAGTCATTGTTGGCACGACAGGACAGCGCCAAGGATTATTTTCGAGGCCTGCTAAACCAGTGTTTCTCAACCTTGACAATTTTAAGGCATGTGGAGTTCAACTCCCAGAATTCCACAGCCAGCAATGCTGGCTGTGGAATTCTGGGAGTTGAAGTCCACATGCCTTAAAATTGTCAAGGTTGAGAAACACTGGGTAGAGTCTCCTGGGTGGACGTTCCGGTGGCCTCCAGACTAACCATCTTCTCGGCCGTGTCTCAGGGGCTGCCCCAAAGAAGAGGGAGTCAAGCTATTTTCCAAAGCGCCTGAAGGCAGGACAAGAAGCAACGGATGGAAACTGATCAAGGAGAGAAGCAACCTGGAATTAAGGAGAAACTTTCTGACAGTGAGAACAATTAACCAGTGGAACAACCTGCCTCCAGAAGCGGTGAATGCGCCAACACTGGAAGTTTTTAAGAAGAGACTGGACAGCCATTTGTCTGAAATGGTATAGGGCTTCCTGCCTGAGCAGGGGGTTGGACTAGATGACCTCCAAGGTCCCTTCCAACTTTATCATCATTATTATTATTAACTTGAGGATGGGGCATGGAGGAGAGCTTATTAGACTGTTAACCAGAAGGTAAAAGGATGCTAGCAATCTTCTCTAACCATCACTGGGTTAGAGAAGAGGAAGCAGGAAGTAGGTCAACGTTCATGAGGGAAATGTGAATGAAAGTTTCCTGGTGAATCAGGGTTTGTGAGTAAGCTGGGCTAAACTTAACATGACTAAGTTTGAATCCTGGTGACATCAGAAGCACATTTGTAGTTTTCTTAGCAAACATCTGGGACCGATTCTTGGGTTCATCTGAATGCTTTTTCAACTTCTGCTGGTCTCACAGGAAGTCCTCAACTTACAATTGTTTGTTTAGTGACCACTGAAAGTCCCAACAGTGCTGAAAAAGTGACTTACGACCAATCCTCGCACTTACAACCATCTTGCATCTCCACACTGGCTGAACCACCACTTCTCTTAGCCATAGAAAGTCTGGCCCTTGTTGCATTTGAGCCCTGCCTATAGTAATCTTGTTTCCTTTGAGGTAAACCATGAGTAGCTAGGGATGGGATAGGATAGGGTAGGATAGTATAGGATAAGATAGGATGGAAAATTTAGAATAGAATAGAATAGAATAGAATAGGAACGGGACGGGACAGGATAGGATAGATGGAATGGGATAGGAGGTGGAAGGGACCTTGGAGGTCTTCTAGTCCAACCCCCTGCTCAGACAGGAAACCCTATACCATTTCAGACAAATGGCTGTCCAGTCTTTTCTTATAGCACTTCCAGATAGGTAACTTAACAAATGTCTCGCCTAGTAACAGTAATTTTGGGCTCAGCTGTTAGTCGTAAGTAGAGGACTTCCTGTATAGAACACACCTGTGCCTCGGTGGGTAGATTCACACAACCCTCTAGGTTTCATTTGTGGTTCAGGCCTTCAATCATTTGTCTTGGAGTGGTGGAGAAAAGAAGAGCGCCAAATTTAACTCCAGTACATTTTGTTGTGTACAACATGTGTTGTGAACCCTGAGTTGTGACCTCTACTCGTTACAAAAACCCCAGATTTTCTAAATCTTCCTGCCGATTTAAATACCTGAAATTAAATGCACGTTCTGTTTGAATTAGGTGATGTTTCCATTCTTACAGTCTCTCTCCCCTTGTAAGTGTGGCATTGTGTGTAGCCTGTGTGTAATTTTAACCCTTGGCCAGTATTTATTTTCCCCTTGATTAAAGGCCGGGTGAATGTGGAAACCATGGTCCTCTCAAGGGCACCAAGTAACACAGACCAGCATCGATTTTTTAACGTTACAGGTAGTCCTCAACTTACGACGGTTCGCTTAGCAACCGTTCAAAGTTGCACTGAAAACCAATGACTTAAGAGTAAGGTGGTTTACATAAGGGTGTAGCAAAGCTGTGGAAGCTGTCGTTTCTCAATATTCAAAATCCCAGCTGGGTGTGCCAAAACAAAAACAACTCCCTTTCAGAAGCTGACCTAACCTTCTGGGCTGGCTAATATCCGAATTACCAGGATGCCAGAGTTTCTAAGATGTGCCAAGCACGTTTTGAAATGTAATACAGATAATCCTCGATTTATGACCACAATGGAGTCCAAAATGTGTGTCGTTAAGCGAGACGGTGGTTAAGTGAGTTTTTCCCCATTTTACGACCTTTCTTGTTAAGTGATTCGACTTAAGCTTAGGTTACCTCAGTTGCTAGTCCCCCGGTTGTTAAGCGAATCTTGCTTCCCCGTGGACTTTGCTTGTCAGAAGACCATCATAAATATGAATCAGTTGCCAAGTATCTGAATTTTGATCACGTGACCATGGGGATGCTACAACGGTCATATGTAATTAATTTTTTATTATTATTATTATTATTATTATTATTATTATTATTATTATTATTATTATTGTTGTTGTTGTTGTTGTTGTTGTTGTTGGAAGGGACCTTGGAGGTCATCTAGTCCAACCCCCTGCTCAGGCAGGAAACCCTATACCATTTCAGACAAATGGCTGTCCAGTCTCTTCTTAAAAACTGTGTATGTGTAAAAAATGGTTCTAAGTCAACTTTTTTCAGTGCCGTTGTAACTTCGGACGGTCACTAAACAGACTGTCATAATTCGAGGACTACCTGCACTCAATTTAAACCGGAGGAAAATGCAGCTAGAGCAGTGATGGCGAACCTATGGCACGGGTGCCAGAGGCGGCACTCGGAGCCCTCTCTGTGGGCACACGTGCCGTTGCCCCAGCCTTGCCTCCCCCCGCGATCCCCTCACCAGCAGCCCCCCTGGAGAGTCGCCCCCACACGGAGCAGCGCAGCCAAGGACATGGCACCCAGGCAGTGTAGACAACACTCTGCCCTCGCGCCCCATCGCGCACAGTTGATGCTGCAGGGCGCGGGCAGAGGGCGTGACCGCCATAGCACTCCTGGGCGATCTGTGGCAGGCCCTGGAGGCGGTGAGTGGCCCTGCAGGCAGGCGGGGTGGGAGCGGGGCAGGGGATGGAGGGGGGGCAGGGGCAGTTTTTGGGCACTCGGTCTCTAAAAGGTTCGCCACACCACTGAGCTAGAGGGTCTTTTTTACAGATACAAAACTTGAAAACTTCTGCTCTCCTGTGCTTTGACAATCGCAGGAAGATTTTGTGGCACCTGAGAGCAAACATTTTTTCACCATTAGGGAGGAAACAATAACAACAACAACCTGGGACACCTGCACAGCAAGGATGAAACAGCTTGAAGAAACCCCTGGGAGAAACAAGAAATTGCAAAAAATAAAATAAAAATAAAAATAGAGGAGGAGGAGAAAGAGAAGGAAAAGAAGGCAGGGAAGTAAACAGAAGGCAGTCCTCGGCTTACAACCGTTTCTTTAGTGAGCAAAGTTACAACGGCGCTGAAAAAAGTGACTTACGACTGTTTTTCACACTTAACGACCGTTGCAGCATCCCTCACCTGATCAAAATTCGGACGCTTGGCCACTGACTCGTATTTACGGCAGTGGTTCGTGCGATTCCCCCTTCTGACAAGCAGAGTCAATGGGGGAACCCTGGTTCACTTCAGGACCGTGTGACTGACTTTAACTATTGCAGTGATTCGCTTAGCGACTGTAGCAAGAAGGGTCATCAAATGAGGCAAAATTCACTTAACAACCGTTTGGCTTAGCAATAGACATTTTGGGTCCCGTTGTGGACGTTAAGCTGAGGTAAAAGGTCAGTTGTGAACCATCCATGCAGCCAAAAAAAGATAAAAAAGAAACAGAAAAACATCCAAAATGCTGTTTTTTCCCCTCCCAATTCAGCCAAACTCAGTGACAAGATTTGACAGCTCAGATGAGACAACTGCAAATCGCTTGGGGAACATTTTATTATCAAAGAAACAAATTTCCTCCACACAACAAAGCCTGGTGTGTCACATACATTTTGACTGGAGAAATCTAGAAAATTTGTAGATTAATGTCTTTCCTGTACACCAGGAAGGACACACATGGACACACACACACACACACACACACACACACACACACACCTCTTAATAAGTGACATTTGTCAATTTCCTCTGTATTTTATATGCTGAGAACTGGATGGCAGGTAGGACTTATTTAAAGTATAAAAAGTAGGATTGCCCATCACAAAGTTGCTGAAAAGGCAGGGGGAACACAACATAGCTTTTTCAGGGACACACAAACACACATCACATGTGGCAGGTTGGAGTTTTGGAGGCAAAGCAAGAAAATCGGTTGCTTTAAAACGGTGTTTCTCAACCTCGGCCATTTTGAAGATGATCGGACTTCAACTCCCAGCTATAGCTGGCTGGGGAATTCTGGGAGTTGAAGTCCGCTCATCTTCAAAATGGCTGACACTGAAAAAGAACCGATTTAGAAAATGAGAAATTAAACACAATTGTCGGTCCCTTCAGCTTTTTTCTGATATATTCCAACTTCTTTTTTTTTTTGTACAGGTTTTTAAATTTTTAATATCAGGCGGCTGCTAGCTCGTTGCCCCCTTTTCTCCCTTTATTTTGTATTTGAACTTTGGAAATAGAAAAATAAACATTTGTGGGGGGGGGAATTAAAAACAAAAAAACAAAAGACGGATCCCCAATAGCAAGTCACACCGAGGATCCGGTCTGGATCAAAACCTCCCATCTTGCTCGGCTGACATCTTTCCTCAGTTTTGTCGTGGACCTCTGAAGTAGCACTTCTAGGTCCCAAGATGAAGAAGAAGCAGCAGCCAAGCCAAGAGACTCGTGACTTTGTCTCTTCTGCCCATTAAAGCAGAGGTTTCGGGGAACAAGATGGGCGTTTGTAGAAAGAATTTGGAGTTTTCTTTGCAGCTGAGGTGATTTTGTAAGGATGAATGGCCCCCTTATTGGTCGTTGGGTCCACCATGATGGGAAGTTCTCATGAAGGTCTCCAGGATCCTTCTTCCGATGGACTCTCCTTTCTGCCAGGGGCCTCAATCCGAGTCACTGTCTTCCTGCTGGGCCAAATCGACGGCAGAGGCCAACTCTTCCTCTTGGCCTCTCAACCGTTCTCCTGCCAGGCAGAATCAAGCAGATGGACCTCATGGAGACCGTGGTAGGTCCTTTGAACCTCAAAACAGGTGGCCCACCAAAACATGCCCACCCCGGGCAGCTAAAGCATCCCTGACAGGAGCTTCAAGACACCCCAAGTTGGTTCATACCTATAAAAGGAACTGGACAACTGGCCACAGATTTCCTGGTATAGGTAGTTCTTGACTTACGACCATTTGTTTAGTGACCGTTTGAGCTTACAAAAAGTTCACTATGACCAGTTTTTCAGACTTACGACCATTGCAGCATCCCCCATGGTCACGTGATCAAAATGCAGACGTTTAGCCACTGATTCGTATTTATGACCATCGCAGTGTCCTGGAGCCACGTGATCCTCCTTTTGCGACCTTTTGTCAAGCAAAGTCAATGCGGAAGCCGGATTCACTTAACGACCGTGTGACTAACTTAACGATCCAGAGATTCACTTAATAACTGTGGGAAAAAAGGTTGTAAAATGGGGGAAAACTCATTTAACAACTGTCTCAACGACAGAGATTATTGGCTCGATTGTGGTCGTAAGCTGAGGACTGCCTGTATCTCCATTTTTTCATACAATGGAGATCAGGCAAATGAAGCAATCCAGCCTCTCTCAGGCTGCTAAAATACATTCTCTCCTCCACTTACACCCCAGCCTTCTGCAAGTACAGGAAATCCTCGACTTATCACCACAACGGAGTCCCAAGTTTCTGTTGCTAAATGAGACAGTTGTTCAGTGCCCCACTTTACGGCCTTCCTTACTACAGTTGTTAAGGGAATCCCTGCAGTTGTTAAGTAAGTCACATGGTTGTTAAGTGAATCTGGCTTCCCCATTAGAAGGTCGCTAAAGGGGATCAGGTGACCCCCTGGGACACTGCAATCGTCGTAAGTATGAATCAGTTGTCAACTGTCTGGATTTTAATCGCGCGACCATGGGGATGTTGCAACGGTCGTATGTATGAAAAACGGTCATACATCACTTTTTTCACTTCCGTTGTAACTTGGAACGGTCACTAAATGAACTGTTGTAAGTTGTTACGGGGTAGTAATGTCTGAAGACTCATAAACGGGCGATTTATGGCAGACGGGAAACAAGGACAATTTGTTGGATATAGAAACTAATCCGGCTTGCAAATCTGGCCCTGATTGGGAGGCCAAGTGACACCCGTGTGCTCTTTGCACAACTGTCATTGTGTGGGGAATGACAAATGGCCACTTAGGACCACCTGGACACTGCTACATTTTTAACCCCCACCCCACCCCCAGACCACACTCACGGATCAGCTCAGCGATGGCCCTCTGTGTACGTTTTTCCAATTTTTCCAGTTTTTTGGCCACGTCTCGCTTTAGGTCCCTGGGAAACGAGAGAAATGGGGGGAAGGGGGAGAAATGAAGGCTATCAAAGCTCCCGGGGGCTGGAGTAGAAGACCTCGGAGGTCCCTTCCGTTACTCCCTATCCACTCTTTAAAGGCCGGTTTAGCTCAGAGTTATGATCCTATACATGCTTGGGTTAGCGGTAAAAGGAAACCAAGACGCCAACAAAACACGGTGCCTGGATGTCATCGGAGTTGGCGCCAGCCGGAGCACAGAACAACTCAAAGAAGTAGTTCAAGAAGACATGGAGAGACCTGGCCCAGAGAACTGCCAAGAGCTGGACACAACTGGACGGATAACGTCACCAACATCATCACTTATCCTTGTCCATAGCTCTCCTCCAATCGGAGGAGGAACTGGAGCGAAAAGTGGGATCCTCCTAGAATCCCTATGTAGTCACAGGAGAAATAAGTCCAATCTTCCTAAAGTGCTGTTGACCCTTATCTAACTCCTGGCAGGTGCTGAGTGGTACTCAAGAATATTCTCGTGCACTTGAAAGATTCCTGTGCACAGGCTTTTAGTCATAGATCAGTTAAGTTGAAAGATTCCTGCACGTAGGTTTTTAGCAAGAGATTAGTTTAGTTGAAAGACTCCTGTGTACAGGCTTTCAGCCATAGATCGGTTTAGTTGAAAGATTCCTGCGCACAGGCTTTTAGCTATAGATCGGTTTAGTTGAAAGACTCCTGTGCACAGGCTTTTAGCAATAAATCAGTGTAGTTGAACCTTCATGTGCAGACCTGGTGTTTCGCGCCTAATCACAAATGCACATAAAGAGCACAACTGCCCCACAGCAAACTCAGGAAGTTTGGGAAGGCCTTTAAATTGCAAATCTTAGCTGCGCTGCTCGTGGAGATGAACGTTCCTACTCACCAGTCGGGCTTCCTGGGGGCAAGATTTGCCAGGTCCTACAAAGGACGAAAACAAAGGGGAGGGGTTAATGAGGAAGCCCCCCCCCCTTCTTCTTCTTCTTAAGAGCCACTTTTCATTAAAATTCTCATGCGAGAAGGCCTTACCACTTCTTCAATGATCAGCTCCGGTTTAGCTGCCTCCAGCTGCTCCTTCACTTTGTCTTCCACTAGAGAGAAGGAAGGAAACCACAGTGACAGATGGGAAAGGAAGGGGGCAAAAGATTAGCCGTCCCTTGTCCGTGGGGGTGCCTCAACAGAAGGCCCATCTGGGGCTGTTTCCCTAGAAAGCGTCAGGAATTGAGGCAGCCATCCGCAAGCGGGCACCCTCCAGGCGTGGGAACTGCAGGGCCCAGCACAAGTGGAGAGGCACCGGGTTAGAAGGGAAGGCAGAACCTTCCAAGAACAGATGCCAGGGAGGAAAAACCCAGCAACCCAGGTTGGAGGTAGCACATCAGGCCTTCTCTGTCCTCCTCCAGGAGGAAGACAGTGGGTTCTAGGGGCCCCTTCAGGATCTTGGCCTCGCAGTGCCAGCTACCTCGGCCTTAAGACTCAAAAGAAGGCATCTGGTTTTTTTCTGGAACAGGGAAGGGGAAGGTGGTGGAAGATGGAGGAGGAGGAGGAGGAGGAGGAAATGGAGAAGAAGATGGAGAAGGTACTCAAGGAGGAGAAGGAGAGGAGAAGGGAAGAAGAAGATGGAAAAGGAGAAATAGAAAAGCTGTAGAAGGAGTAGACAGACAAGGGGAAGGAGAAAGATACAGGAGGAGGAGAGGAGGAGGAGATGGAAAAGGAGAAAGGGAAAAAGAAAGGTAAGAAGACAGACAAGGAGGAGGAAAAGAAGGTGAGGATGAGAGAGAAAGAGAGAGGGAGAGTGATAGAGAAAGAGAAAGGGGAGAGAGAGAGAGAGAAAGAAAGAGAGAGAGAGAGAGAGAGAGAGAGAGAAAGAAAGAAAGAAAGAAAGAAAGAAAAAGAAAGAAAGAAAGAAAGAAAGAAAGAAAGAAAGAAAGAAAGAAAGAAAGAAAGAAAGAAAGAAAGAAAAAGAAAGAAAAGACAAGGAGAAGGTAGGCAAGGAAGAACAGGAAAAAAGGTGAGGCAGAGAAGGAGACGGAGAAAGAGAAAGAGAGAAAGGACAAAAACGTGAAATTGCTTCTCCCTTGCTAGATTCCTGGTTGGCTATTGCTGGATAGGCCTGGACAAGGGGCAGATGGACCCCCAGGACCCCCACCTTGTCTCCCCTGCTCACCTACCTGAAGCCGGCTTGGCATTGGGCACCACCCTTTCCTTCAGCTCCACATCTTCGGGGATGTAATTCCGCAACTTCAGCTCCCTGAAAAGAGAAGAAAGAGAAGAAAAGGTGGTTAGGAGAGAATGCAGCCTCCGACCATCAACGAAGCTGCACTGCTGTAGTGGAAGCACTTGTGCCTGGTTGAAGCTGGCAGCCCACTCTGGACTTCCGACTTCCCACTGGCTTCCCCAGTGACTCGGTCGTGGGATTCAGTTAATGGTGGCAACTGAGACGTTGGGGATTCCGGTCACTGAACAATGCAGTCACGCTTTAATACCGCATCACTTAGTGGCGGACATTCTGGTCCCAATCGCCATCGTAAGTTGAGGACTCCCCATTCTTGCTTTGTCACCAACCCTATAGGTAGTCCTCAGCTTAACAACAATTGGGCCCAAAATTTGTCACTAAGCGAGACAGCTGTTAAGTGACTTTTGCCCCATTTTATAACCTTTCTTGCTACCGTCGTTAAGCGGATCACTGCAGGGGTTAAGTAAGTCACATGGTTGTTAAACGAATATGGTTTCCTCATCGACTTTGCTCATCAAAAGGTCGCAAATGGGGATCACGTGATCCCAGGACACTACGACCGTCATAAATATGAGCCGAGTGTCCAAATTTTGATCATATGACCGTGGGGATGCTGCAACGGTTGAAAGTGTGAAAAACGGTCCCAAGTCCCTTTTTTCTGTCCCATTGTAACTTCGGTCACTAAACGAATGGTTGTAACTCGAGGACTACCTGTATTATTTTTGCAACAGACCTGTCAGTGATACAAGTGGGAGTGGGGAATAACGCGTGTTTCCGTCTTGTGTTCTTTTTAATTCAATTTTTTTAAACGTTCTTTTATAGTTCTGTTTCGTCTCCATTTACTTGTTTTGGGAATTTTGCATTTTACTCTTCTGAATAAAATAGAAAAAAAAATGAATCAATAAAAAGAAATAAACTCCATTTAATCCTGGATTGAATAAACCCAGTCTTGGTCCATGCACAGAAGGAATCCTTGTACGAGTGGATTGCAATGCTCACACTGTACACTAGATGGAGACGTTGCCCTTTTGTTGAGCTTCTCTGCAGCTCCCAATTGCCTTTCCCTGCCGGATGGCAGCATGGTAGGATTCTCAATTGGAATAGAGCTAGAAGGGACCTTGGAGGTCTTCTAGTCCATCCCCCTGCTCCAACAGGAGATCCTCTACCATTCCAGACAGGTGGCTGTCCAGTCTCTTCTTAAAAGCCTCCAGCAATGGAGCATCCACAACTTCTGTTCCACTGGTTGATTGTCCTCACTATCAGGAAGTTTCTCCTTAGTTCTAGGTTGCTTCTCTCCTTGATCAGTTTCCATCCGTTGCTTCTTCTCCTGCCTTCAGGCGCTTTGGAGAAAAGGTTGACCCCCCCCCCATTCTTTGGGGGCAGCTCCTCAAATACTGGAAGTGTCAACTCTGCAACGAACCTGGCTGAAGCCATCCTGCTCCTTATCGGTTGCCACAAGATTGGGGGGGAGGAATGGGAAGTTTTATGCTAGCCTAAACAATTCTTTATCGTGGGAACCAAGGTCATTTCTATTCCCTCGGCTGGGGGAGGTTGAAGCTAATGTTGGAAAGCCCGCCAAACTGTTTTAGTGGGAAAGTAGTTGATTCCATAGATGGGGAGTGGGGCTGGGAATTTTAACTTTGTAATACTGTTACTTTTGGAGGGAACTTTAGTTTTGGTTTCACTTTTGACCATGCCGATACTTTGTAACCACTAAACATGTTCTTAAAGGAAAACTCAAGCCTCAGAGTTCTGCTTTAATGGGTCTCATCTGTCAGAACCACGACAGGAATACAGCTATCGTGTCCCCCCTAGGCCTTCTTTTCTCTAGACTAGCCATACCCAAGTCCCGCAGCCGTTCTTCATGTGTTTTAGTCTCCAGGCCTTTAATCATCTTAGTTGCTCTTCCCTGCACTCTTTCCAAAGTCTCTACATCTCTTTTGTGATGAGTTGACCACAACTGGATGCACAATTCCAGGTGTGGCCTTACTAAGGCTTTATAAAGCGATACTAACACTTCGCGTGATCTTGATTCTATGCCTCTGTTTATATAACCAAGGATTAGCTTTTTTGGCTGCTGCCGCACACGGCTGGCTCACAGTCAAGGGATCGTCCACTGCGACTCCAAGGTCCCTCTCACAGTTGCTGTGTTTGAGCCGGGTCTCGCCCAGTCTGTACTTCCATCTTTTGGTTTTTCCTGCCTAGGTGTAAAATCTTGCTTTTCTCCACATTAAATTTCTTTTTGTTGGATAGGGCCCGTTGTTCAAGTCTGTCAAGATCTTTTTGGATCCCGAGCTTGTCTTCTGGGGTGTTTGGCTATTCCTGCCAGCTTAGTGTCATCTGTAATCAACCTATTTGCTTTTCTCTGCACTCTCCCCAAAGTCTCAACATACATTAAGACTCCCAGCACTTAAGGCAAGGCACCGGGATCACCTGCGCACCGTTGCTCTGAGTACACAACTAAGAATACAGGCAGTTTGCCGAGGAAATTAGAAAAATTACAACAATTCTGGTTCTTCAGATTTTCCTCAACTGGAGATTAGAAGAGGTAGGGCTGGAATGTTCTCCAGATTACAAGTGCTTCCTGTTCTGGGACTAATTTTAAGAAAGGGAAAAAAAGAAAAGAAAAGAGCATGCAAAATTCATAAACACATTGCTTGGACAGCCCGTCGCAGTCAAGGAATGCAGAACAGCTAACCAGAGTCTGGAGCGAACGTTATTCCTGCAAAATGGTTATACACTTTTTTTTCCTTTTTGCATTAAGGCAAACGCAAAGGAGCCAATAGCAACAAACAGAAACAGAACTAAAAATAAAATTATCTCTGTTTAGAATCAGGATTTAAAGAGGCACAAGCCCGGGCAAGAGAAAAAAAAAAGACTCAGCTAGGAACGGCTCAGATAGGATAAAAATCAGTTTTAAAAAGTCAACCGATGCAGAGCAGCTTAGAAGAAATGGTAAAAATTGGATTATTCCTATCTTTGAAAGATTTAAACTGTGGTTGGCTGTATCAGGCAACACAGCTAAGCGTGGGGGGGGGGGAAATAGACAGCAAAATGGACATGTTAACATTTTATAGGATTTTTATCTTTATTACTTTATAAGTAACTCAAGACAGTGAATGTAGCTAATATTCCATCCTCCTCCTATTTTTCCCATAACAACAACCCTGTGAGGTGAGGTGGGCTGGGTGGAAAAAGAGGGACTAGTCTCATGTCATCCAGTTGGGTTTCATGGTTAAAGCGGAACTAGAACTCCCCGTCTCCTGGTGATTGGCCCAAAGTCAGCCAGCTGGCTTTCATGCCTAAGGCAGGACTAGAACTCACCATCTCCGGATGATTGGCCCAAAGTCACTCAATTGGCTTTAGTGTCTAAGACAGGACTAGAATTCATGGTCTCCTAGTCACTGGCCTAAAAACATGCAGCCCGCTTTCGTGCCTAAGGCGGGACTAGAACTCACCATCTCCTGGTTTCTAGCCCAGCACCTTAACCACTATGCCAAACCGGCTCTTTTATTTTTATTTAATGTCCCTTAAAAATGGGAACTCCACTACTGAATATATTAAAAGACGTTGGGGCTGTTTAACTTAACAGCTGCAGTGATTTGCTTAACAACCGTGGCAAGAAAGGTCATAAAACCGAACACAACTCACTTAACCGCCCTCTCGCTTAACCCCAGAAACGTGGGGTTGTGCTTGTAACCTGAGGATTTCATGCAGTCTCTCTCGGCTACGGGGTGAGTCCATTTTAAGAGAAAAGACTGAGGATTTCGCAAATAAGAAATAAAAAAATTGCTAAACACAGATTCGATCCTCAAACACACACCCTGAAAAACTGATTTTATTTTCATCTCCAGCGGCCCTTAATGACCCCTGGACTGGGGACAAAATCCAAGAGCTTATCGAGAGGAAACAGGCTGCCCCACCTGTAGGAATCAATCCGATGAGTAGATTTATAAACATCCCATTTATTGTTTGCGGCGGGAAAAAAAAAACGGGGGGCGTCCCCTGAAGTCCAGCCAAAATCACACACACGTCGCTTGCAACAACCCAGGTCTCCACAACTTGGATGTGTGCAAGTTCTAAATTTACTATATGCCCTAAATTTAAACCTATCGAGGGCAGTAGATTGGGAAAGGCTGTTTTAGAGCCTTAACGGATATGCAAACAGCGATCAAACCAGGGTTTAGTGCAAGGTGCCTCCCAGATGCATGCAGTCCTCAACGTACGACCATCATGGACCTGAAATCTCCGTTGCTAAGCAAGACAGCTGTTTAGTGACTCTTGCCTAATTTTGCCCACAGTTAAGTGTATATCATGGCACTGGTTGATAACATGGTCGTTAAACGAATCTGGCTTTGTTGTCAAAAAGTGGCAAAGGGGATCACATGACCCCGGGGCGCTGCGACTGTCGTAAGTATGAGCCAGTTGCCAAGCATCTGAATTTTGATCAGGTGACCATGCGGATGTGGCAATGGTCGTAAGGGTGAAAAATGGCCACTTTTTTCGGGTCTGGTGTAACTTCGGTCACTAAGCGAATGCTCGTTAAGTCAAGGACTAACTGTATCTAGAGTGCACTCTCATTAAATCCACCCAGCATGTAGCGTCTTCTGGAACCCGTGGACTCATCGCTTCGCAGAGCACCCAGCTCCGGAAAAAAAAATAAGTCGACAGGGGATTCAATGCCTAAAGAGCCATGATGGAGATGGTCTCAAAGCACATGTAGGTACTCCTCAACCTTATAACCATTCACGTAGCAACTATCCAGAGTTACAATGTCATGGGGAAAAAAACGGAATTATGACCATGTGAAGATATAGTACAGTTTTATAAAACTCTAGTAAGGCTACACCTGGAATACGGCATCCAGTTTTGGTCACCATATCACGAAAAAGACGTTGAGACCTTGGAAAAAAATCAGAGAAGAGCAGCTATAACAGTGTTTCTCAACCTTGACAATTTTAAGGCATGTGGACTTCAACTCCCAGAATTCCACAGCCAGCAATGCTGGCTGTGGAATTCTGGGAGTTGAAGTCCACATGCCTTAAAATTGTCAAGGTTGAGAAACACTGAGCTAGGATGATCAAAGGCCTGGAGAGTAAAACATACAAAGAACGGCTGCAGGACTTGGGTTTGGCTAGTCTAAAGAAAAGAAGAAATAGGGGAGACATGATAGCAGCGTTCCAGTATTTGGGGGGGCTGCCCCAAGGCAGAGGGAGTCAGGTTGTTCAACAGAGCACCGGAGGGCAGGACGAGAAACAATGGTTGGAAACTGATCAAAGAGAGAAACAACCTGGAATTAAGGAGAAACTTCCTGACAGCGAGGACAATCAACCAGTGGAACAGCTTGCCACCAGAAGTTGTGGGTTTCATCACTGGAGATTTTAAAGAAGAGACTGGACAACCATTTGTCTGAAATGGTATGGAGTCTCCTGCTTGAGCAGGGGGCTGGACTAGAAGACCTCCAAGGTCTCTTCCAGCCCTAGGATTCTATAAGGCAGGAAGGCAGGAGAAAGAGACAGAGGGATGGATGGATGGGAGAGAGTGGGTGGGTGGGTGGGTTGTCCACCTGTTGTTCAGAAAGCACCAGAAAGCAAGAGAAGAAACGAGGGATGGAAACTAATAAAGAAGAGAAGAAACCTGGATCTAAGGAGAAACTTCCTGACAGTGAGGACAATCAACCAGTGCAACAGAAATTGCCTCCAAAAGTTGTAGGTGCTTCATTGCTGGAGCTTTTCAAGAGACAGCCACTTTGTCTGAAATGGTTTAGGATTTCTTGCTTGAGCAGGGGGGTTGGACTAGATGACCTCCAAGGTCCCTTCCCGTTCTCTTCTGATCTATAGCATCCGCAGGGTGCCGTGATCAATTTGGCAATGGCAAGTATTTAAGCCGGTGGAAGCATCCCAAGTGTGATGGGACTGCCAGGCTCCCGACGAAGTTTCCAGCATGCAAAGTCAATGGGCAAAAGTCAGATCCGCTTTACGGCCGTGTGATTCACTTAACGACTGGATGATCAGCAGGGTGGATTTGATTTAAATCAAGTCGATTTTTAAATCACGATTTAAATCACTAGTAAAAAAGGCTCGATTTAAATCAACTCAATTTAAATCATAATTTTAAAAGAGCAGCTGTCATTTCTGACTGGCTGTGGACTCACTGACAGCCCCACTCCCTTGAATGGGACGGCTGGTGATGGGGCAGGGACACCACAAGGTGAGGGACGTGACGGGCAGCAGGTGAGTGGGTGCCTGCTAACAGGCGCTGCCAGGATGGATCTGAAATGACAGGTGCTCTTTCAATGTAAGGACTCATTCTTGCTGGTAGCTAGAACCTTTAATATTATTATTTGCAAACAAAATGAAGGTTTCCTATTTAGAATCAGAAGCTGTCAGGTCAGTCAAACAGCGGTAACAGAACTGATTTCAGGTTAATCACACATAGTTGGAGAACTACTCAAATTCTTTTATTTAACTAAAACACTTAAGAGTCTTGTACAGAGGCATTTCTCTTCAAACAATCACACAGTTTGTAGTGTGCATAGATTTGCAAAACAATGGGATAAAGGAATATTCCTGAACTTTATTTTCTGATTTATCTCATGGTTACTGTGAAACTGTGCGCATGCATCAAGGCAGTGCATGTTATCTCGGCTTGCAGACCTTGGATTCACTGAATGAGTTTACCAAAAATGTAAATATTTCAGATTATAAAGCCCCATGCGACATAACTAAAGCTCCATTTCATGCTGAACAAACTAAATTATTAATGTATCTTAAATAGAAAACTACGTTTACATAGATTTTTACTTCAAAAGCATTTTATTAAAATAAATTTGATAAAAAATAAAAAAAATCCGATTTAAATTTTTAAAAATCCAATTTTCTAATTTCTTTTTTAAAAATCAATTATTATCCACCCTGATGATCAGCTTAACTGAAGTAAAAAAAAAAAAAAAGTTGCAAAATCCTGTGCGACTCATTTAACAACCGCCTTGCCTTAGCTACAGAAATTCTCCCAGTTCGTGGTCATTACGTTGAGGACCACCTGAATGGGATCACCCCTTTGCCACTTTCCCCAGCTGGCTTCCAACGTGCAATGGGGTAGGCAACCTCGGCTCTTTTATGACTCGTGGACTTCAACTCCCAGAATTCCTGAGCCAGCCTGGCTCAGCTTGGAAGCCTCTCCCTTTCCCCTCAGCATGGCTGGCTCAGGAATTCTGGGAGTTGAAGTCCACCAGTCATCAAAGAGCCAAGGTGGCCTACCCCTGGGCTAGACCATGGCAAAAAGTTATAAAATTTACTTAACAACCGTTGTAAGTTTGAACAGTCACTAAATGAATGATTGTTAAGTTCAGGACTGCCTGTACATAATTGTGCGTAGAAAAATAAAGAAAAAAGAAGAAACATATACATAAATTGAATACTGATGTTTATGAATGTCTGCAATTCTATTTACCTAACCAATTTGACCTGATATCTACTATATTTAAAAAAAAAAAACAAGACAGTTGCAGCCATGTCAAAACCTTCTGTTATCAGAGACTGCAGTAGCTTTTATTTTGAAAGTGACTGCTATTCCCCCCCCCCCCCAATTTACATTGTGTATGTGTATGTGTGTGTCTCTATGCACCTTTGGCAGCCCTCATGGTTGGGCACTCCACAAAGGCCCCACGTTCTCCTGCGGCCCCTTGGGAAAATTAAAAGCCCACCCCAGGGTTAAAGAAACAAACGGAAGGAACCATTTCTTGATTTCCTAATAAATATCACAAATAAAATACATAAGTTTCCCAGGAAAGTGGGCAGGATTCGCATGGGGCTCAGGGCTCAGTGAGAAGAGACTTTTTAAAAAACAACATTTTAATTTGTGTTTTTAGATATAACTGTGACTTGCAAAACACAGCACGAGGCTCGAGCTGACTCAATAAGAAGGGACTTTTTAAAGACTTTTTTAAAAAAAATAAAATTTAAATTTGTGTTTCTAAACATAACCTGTGACTTGCAAAACGCAGCACGAGGCTCAAGCTGACTCAAGGAAGGGACATTAAAAGACCTTTTAAAAAATATATATATATATATATTAAATGTTCATTTGTGTTTTTAAAGATAACCGGAGACTTGCAAAACGCAGAATGGGGTTCAAGGTGACTCAGTGAGAAGGGAGAGACTTTTAAAAGCCAATTTTCTTTTAAAAAAAAATCAAATTTAAATTTGTGTGCTTTTAAACCTAACTGGGACTTGCAAAATGCAGCAGTGGAAGGGGGGGGGCTCAAGCTGACCCGATGAGAAGGAAGAGACTTCCTTTAAAGCAGTGTTTCTCAACCTTGACAATTTTAAGGCATGTGGACTTCAACTCCCAGAATTCCACAGCCAGCGTTGCTGGCTGTGGAATTCTGGGAGTTGAAGTCCACATGCCTTAAAATTGTCAAGGTTGAGAAACACTGCAGTTTAAAGACAATTTAAAAAGAAAAAAAAAACTAAATTTAAGTTTGTGTTTTTAAGATACCGTTGCTAGGGCTTTAATCTCTGTAAACTATGCTCTTGTCTTCCTGTGGCATCAGGTTCCCCTGATCTGGCCTTTCTCAACAGGGTGATGGGGAGAATAACCAGACACTCACTTGTGTTTCGGCACCCCCTCCTCCTCCTTCTTCTCCTTCTCCTTCTCCTTCTCCTCCTCCTTCTCCTCCTCCTCCTCTCCCTGGCTGCTGCTTTTCGGGACCTTCACCTGGGGTGCCTCCTTGTCCTCATTTTGCTGGGGGGGAGAAGGGAAAAAAAGGGGGGGAGAGAGAGAATTAACAGAATACAGCCAGTCCTCGACTTACGACGACCACGCTTGAGCCCAAATATCTGCTGCTAAGCGAGACGGCGGTGGAGGGATTTTTGCCCCATTTCGCGACCTTTCTTGCCACTCTTGTTAAGTGGATCCCCCCGCCCCCCGGGCAGTCGTTCGGTTGTTAAGGGTCAATCCGGCTTCCCCCATTGGCTTTGCTTGTCAGAAGGTGGCAAAAGGGGATCGCGTGACACCAGGACACGGGCGACCGTCTTAAGTACGAGTCAGTGGCCAGGCATCTCGGTTTTGATCCCTTGAGCAGGGGGGATGCTGCAACGGTCGTTAAAGTGTGGAGAAAATGGTCATAACTCGCTTTTTGTAGTGCTGTAATTTCAAGCGGTCAGTAAATGAATGGTTGTAAGTAAAGGACTACCAGTAACAGAGTTGGAAGACATCAGGAGGTCATCTGGTCCAACCCCCCTCACTTCCCCCCTTCCTTCCTTCCTTTCTTCTCTCCCTCCCTCTTCCTTCCTTACCCCCCGCCCTTTTTCCTTCCTTCCTTCCTTCTTCCCCTTCCTTCCTTCTCTTCCTCCCTCCCCTTTTCTTCCTTCCTTTTCTCCCTTTTCTTCCCTTCTTCCTCTCTCCCTTCTTCCCTCCCCTTCCTTCCTTCCCCATCCATCTCCTTCCTTCCTTCCTTCCCTCCTTTCTCCCCTTCATTCCTTCCTCCCTCCATTTTCCTTTCTTCCTTCTCCCTTTTCTTCCTTCCTTCCCCATCCATCTCCTTCCTTTCCTTCCTTCCCTCTCCTTCCTTCCTCCCCTTCATTCCTTCACTTCCTCCCTCCCTTTTCCTTCCTTCCTTTTTTTCTTCCCTTCTTTCTCCCTCCCTTCTTCCCTCCCTTCCTTCTCTTCCTCCCTCCCTGTTCTTTCCTTCCTTCCTTCCTTCCTTCCTTCCTCCCTTTCTTCCCTTCATTCCTTCTCTTCCTCCCTCCCTTTTCCTTCCTTCCTTCTTTTCTTCCCCTCTTTCTCCCTCCCTTCTTCCCTCCCTTCCTTCTCTTCCTCCCTCCCTGTTCTTTCCTTCCTTCCTTCCTTTCTTCCTTCCTCCCTTTCTTCCCTTCATTCCTTCTCTTCCTCCCTCCCTTTTCCTTCCTTCCTTCTTTTCTTCCCTTCTTCCTCCCTCCCTTCTTCCCTCCCCTTCCTTCCTTCCACCCTGCCATTTTCAGGGCCGAAGGTCAGAAAGCTAAGAGTGCCTGAATGATCCGATCAGGGTTACCAGGTCACCGGGAGGGTCACCCCTCATTTTAGAGGGTGGGTAGGGGGAGGGTGGGGTTGAAGAGTACACCCAGGTTGAGAAAAGACCCTGGTTCCATCCCCCACCCACCCACCCACCCACCCAGGACTAAGCTAGCCATTCTAGATAATCCTTGACCTACAGCCATTCATTCAGTGACTGAAGTTATCACAGGCAAAAGTGACATGGCCATTTTTCACCCTTACTGGAACGTCATCATGTGATCAAAATTCACATGCTTGACAGTTGACTCATATTTACAACGTTCGACGCGTCCCATGGGTCACATGATCCCCTCAGGCCACCTTCTGGCAAGCAGAGTCAATGGGGGAAGCCGGATTCGCTTAACGACCGTGTGGCTCAATTAACCACGGCAGGGATCCGCTTAACAAAGATGACAAGGAAAGTCGTGCAATGGGGCAAAACTAACTTAGCAAATTTCTCACTTAAGCAACGGAAACTTTTGGCTCGACTGTGGCCTGCTTGCGATACCTGTACGGGTAGGAAAAACACTGCAAGGTTTTGCAAGACTCCCGATTTTCAAAGATTGCAAAAAAGACCTTCTGAATTACATCTCATTTGGCAGTTAAGAAAAAAGAAAATCTTTCCAAGGGCAAAATCGTGAGGGATATCAAAAGGAACAATTCCTCAAATGCGAGCCAGGACAACGCAACTCATGGAGGAAATTCAAGGACTTCCTATCAGGTTTGTGTTCAAAGCACAACTGCACAGGGCTGTTTGCGAGCGTCCATTTCCTGCAACTTCACTCCTGTTGCCAGCGTAAAAGCTTCTTTTGCTCAGCTCAAGGACGGTACAAATTGTTAGGTTTCCCCCCCCCCCCACGGCCAACAGGGTCCCCATCAAATAACAATAAAACTTCCTAACAGCAACTATTTTTGCAGACAGCAGAGAAAAGTGGCAAAATTCTATTTTATTTTTGGAAATTTTCGCCTGCAAAATCCCTTGGGGTTAACTGTTAAGAGCAGCTAGATCGCAGAGACACGCATGTAAGAGGTTGAATTTAAATTGCAAGCTTTTGCACGCATTAATTAAAACATTCCCTCTTGGGTGCAAGACAGACCCAGCAATGCATTTTTTCTTTCTTTCTGGAGTTGGTCATTAACCTACTTTCTCCCAATGGAGAAAGTCTGCTCTGCTCGGACCCAAACTTTTAAATTATTAAAAAATCTCCATTACAGGTAGTCCTTGACTTACGGCCACAAAAGCGAGACATCTGATAAGTGAGTTACCCTCATTTTGCCACAGTGAATCACTGCGATGGTTCAGTCAGTCGCATGGTTGTTAAGTGAATCTGGCTTGTCGGAAGGTCACAAAACAGGATCACGTGAGCCTCTGATACTGCAACTGTCATAAATACCAGTCAGTTGCCAACCGCCTGAATTTTGATCACATGACCACAGGGATGCTGCAACGGTTGTTAAGTGTGAAAAACAGCCCTAACTCACTTTTTCCAGTGATGTTGTAACTTGGAACGGTCATTAAATGAACTGTCTGCACGCCTCTCTCGGACGAAATTTTGATTCCTGTATTTGCACCTTCAACCAAATTTCCACACCGGGCAACTTACAAACCAAGAGGTTAAATTTTAAGGGGGCAAAAATAGACCCACTCATGGGTTGAAGGAATGTGGTTCTGCCTGCCCTTGTTTTTGCAAGCCCTTGTAAACTGTCATGCTTAAAGCTACCGGGTCTTGCTCTGGGTTTATGCACAATTAATCCTCCCTTCACTTGGTTATTTATACCGAGGCTCCGGCTGGCGCCAACCGGTTTAAAAACACAACTGTGAGTTTTCAAGAGTTGTCAGGGCTCCTGGGCTAAATCCAAAATCTTTCTCCACCTTTGGCTGAGAGCAAAACGGAGCAGAGGGTGGCTTGAAAAGAAAGAAGCAGAACGGTTAGACCAGAGGTGGTTTAATCCTGGTCAAGCTGGATCGCTTAGGTTAGGAGGACCCGAGGTAGAAAATTAGAAAGTTCACCTTGAAAAGGTATGTGCAAAACCACTGCAGTTATTCTGTTGTCACAAGAAACCAGGAAGGGGAATTAAGGTGCCTCTAGGTTCACTTCTGCGGGTGAAGAAGTAAATAAATCATTTTTGTTGCTAGCCTTAATTTTCTCCAGGCTGCATTTTTTTCCCCTAGCAGGCTGATTTTTGAAAGGTTAAGCTTCTTGAATTAGAAGGGGACAGAGGTTCTGGTTGATGGGTTGCAAATTAGCAGAAATCTAGCTTCTGCAAGACATCAAGCTAGAAACTAGGAGACGGTGAGTTCTAGTCCCGCCTTAGGTATGAAAAACGACTGGGTGACTTTGGGCCAATCACCAGGAGACGGTGAGTTCTAGTCCCACATTAGACAGGAACACCAACTGGGTGACTCTGGGCCAATCACCAGGAGACGGTGAGTTCTAGTCCCCTATTAGATATGAACACCAATTGGGTGACTTTGGGTCAATCACCAGGAGACAGTGAGTTCTAGTCCCACCTTAGGCAGGAAAATCACTGGGTGACTTTGGGCCAGTCCCTCCCTCTCAGCACAACCCACAGGGTTGTTGTTGTGAAGAAAAGAGGAGGAAGAAGGAATGTTAGATATATTTTGAGTTATTTCTAAAAAATAAAAAAAAAATAAGGCAGGGGATAAACCATTGCTGGATGGTTTTCAAGAAGAGTTTGGAAAGTATAACTTCTCCTGCTTCGGCAGGGGGCTGGACTAGATGACCTGCAAGGTCCCTTCCAAACCTAGGATTCTAGGAAACAGAGACCACCACAAGCAGGGAATACCAAGGAAGGAACTATACTAGGAAAAAACGAATAGGTTGAAATGAGAATTGAAATCAAATTCGGATTTTTCTCTTCGGTGTATTTTTTTTATGCCTTGAGGTTACTTGCTAGAATAAACGAAGGCTTCTAGGAACTTTTTGTGACTCTGCACAATGAACCACAAGCACACTTGGCCACAAGCCTAGTCCAATTGGGTGGGAATTTCCCACCAGTGTGAAAAACGTGCAGATTTTTTTGGCTGGCCCTCATCGTAGGAAATGGGACTGATTCATCTCCTCTCTTCCTTACCTCCACACCGCTAGCGCCTTCTTCTCCGATTCCGAAAGTGTTGGAACTACAATTCCCAGAATTCCAGAGTATGCTGGGGGCTGCAGCCTTAAAACATGTACAATTAGTTCCTGACTTACAACAGTTCGTTTAGTGACTGTTACGTCACTGAAAAAAGGGACGTAAGACCGTTTTTTCTCACGACCGTTGCAGTATCCCTCGTGGTCACATGCTCAAAATTCAGACACTTGGCAACTGGCTCCTATTTATGATGGTCGCAGCGTCCCGGGGTCACCTGATCTCCTTTTTGCGACCTTCTGACCAGCAAAGTCCACGGAAAAGCCTGATTCATTTAACAACCGTGTGACTAACTTAAGAACTACAATTATTCGCTTTAACAATTGTGGCAAGGAAGGTTATCAAATGTGGCACAACTCACTTAAGAACTGTCTCCACTTAGTGACAGAAAATTTGGGCTCAGTTCTGCTGGTAAATCCAAGACTAGCTGTAGAAGACGTAGGCTGGGGAAAAGT